GGGACCAGTGTGCCAAATGACCACTTTCCTCACTGAAATACCCTGCAGAGACAATGAGCTGGGGCGAGGTGACTAACAGGATACACCCTGGCAAGCTGCAGTTACATATGAAGCAATTTAACACCTCTAGTAAACATTTATAAACTGAGAAATTATTCCCATATTCCCATATGGGGAATGATCTAACATTGTTTTTCACTAATATCTCCCCCCTCTTCACCTGCCTGTCCCTGTCCTCTTTTTTGGGGTTTTTTTTTGTTGGTTTTTTTTTTTTTTGAGCAGGAAGCACAAAAGAGAAGAAACAGTGGGGTGTGATTATTTATGTATTTATTCTCAGTTACTTCCACCTCAGCTCCTGCTGCTAAACAGCTGCTTGGAGGCCTGCTTCTCCCTTTGGGGTTTGCTGATGTCCCAGATGAATAATGTCCCCCTTCACCTCCCCGGCAGCTGGCGCCCAGCCGACGTGCAGGCAGGATGCTGACAGTTATTGGGAAAACATTTGGCATGCAGGCAGCTGCCAGAAAGCAAAAGTCACTCTGAGCAGACCAGGGTGGGGAGCATTTCAGATACTAAACTACTCCCTGATCCTTTTTGCATTTACAGTAATTCTTTCCAATAAGGAATGAGCTGCCATGGTCTAGAGCAATCAATAATTAGTTAATCCAGGATTAAATACAAAAACTATTCCAAACTTTTGTACATTGTTTCAGTCTTGATCAGCTATTTTTTTTATCAGCCCTGCCATAATTTGTCTCCTTTCCACACAGGTTTTTGCTAAGGCTTCTTCCAGGGAATGGCAATCACTCTAATGTCACTCCAGAGTTAGCCCTGCAACGAGCATGGTGCTGGGCCAGATGGTTTCCAAAGATCCTCTCCAACCTAAATTACTCTATGGCTTTATTCTATGATGTTGGAAAGTATTTGGATCACCTTCTGTAAAAGCTTAGGATCACAAGCATTTTAAAAGCACATTGGTGTTGGCAGGTGTGGTTGTTACTACTTTCAGGCTTTGTCTGAGTCCACATGCTTTTCCTTGTCATTGTCAATCAGTTTAGAAGTAAAAGATACAGCAGACTTTTGAGACTGCCAGAGTATAGTTCAGAGATTGTGTGACATGATTTAATGGTTAGCTGAGCATTGATCTCTGGCTGAGAAGCAAATCAGAGCATCTTCCAGGGTGTCCTCATCTGCCTGCAGTTGTATTGGTCCTACTGCAACTCCAATTCCTGGCTCCTGCTGCTTTTGCTGCACTGATCTCCCACCTCCCATGTGTTCTACTCAGCCATTCTCTATTACAATGTTAAAAAAAAACCCTACTTCTCTCCTCCAGCCTAGTAAAGAGAGGTTATTCTTTATTCTATGTTACTTTCTTTTTACTTTAAAACCAGCTCTGCGTTATCTTATTTATATAAGCAATCACATTTTGTTCTTTCTTTGAATAACTTCAGCAGGGTTTATTTCTTTCTGTGGAAAATATGACATGAGGTTTTGACTGAAATGACATTTTTGTCTTAGCAAAAATTCCACTTTACTAAAGCATCAAACAGAATGTTAAATCTAACACTGGGATAGCGGAAAATGTCATTGATTTCGTAGTAATTTTCAGTAATGTAATAACAATGCTATTAACAGCCAAGCAAAGCACAAAAAGAACTTGTTCCTATTTGTATATGCCATTTTCTATTAGGTGTCAGACACCTGAGGCACTGCATATTTGGAAGGATTTTTTGCACTTCTTGGGCAAAAGTTGCAGCCTCTTATGGCTTGGACTTGTGCCTCGGATGCTTCCCCGAAGGCTTCATTAATTGCCAGTAATGCAAAACTTGTTGTATCATATTGATAAATTATGCAGTTCTCTTCTTCTCTTTGTCATGCCAGACAGGAAAGGCTTTGGAAGGGAACTTGGCCAGAATGTCCTGATCACTGGGAAGAAGCTGAAAGCTGAATGAAATCCACTTGCATAATGGAGGGTAGCCAGAACCTGAAGTGAAGATGTCATCTTCATTGTCCTGGGAAGATCTTTATCTATTGACGTGAAGGGCAAAGTGTCTTTTAAGACTGTCAGTCTTCTAAAAAGAGAGCAGGAGAGCCCATCCTTCTCCAAAAACACCAGGAAAAAGCTCTTTCACCCATCATGGTGCTGAAGTATAAAGCACCTTTTGGCTGCAAATGATCATGCACAGTGGAAGGGGTCATTAAGAAGTATTTTGACAATCACAATTGGTTGGGAAAGACCTCTAAGAGCATTGGTCCAACCATTAATGAGCATTGCAATTTTCACCACCAAATCATACCCCTAAGTCCCATATCCACGCACCCTTTGAACAGTTCAAGGGATGGTGACTCAACCACTTCCCTGGACAAACTGTTTCAATACTTGATAACCCTTCCCATGAATAAATTTTTCCTGATACCCACTAAACCTCTCCTGGCATAACCTGAGGCCATTCCCTCTTATCCTATACCTTGTTACCTGGGAGAAGAGGCCAATCCCCACCTCACTGGAACACGTTCCAGCACCTCAATGTCTTTCAGTGAAGGACCCAAAACTGAATACAGGATTTGAGATGTGGCCTCACCAGTGTTCAGCACAGGGGGACAATCTAATGTGTTGATCACCCTGTTTCTGATGTAAATAGTGTATTCTTCTGTGTTCTTTCTTCATGGCCTTGAATATCTTTGTGCTTTAGGGAGAAAAGCTGAAGGACCAGGAAGCAAGCCAGAGTTATGGCTATATGCATGAATAAGAAACAGGAGATCTCTTTGAGGCATGAAACCTCCCAGCAGGATTTGCTGTCATCATCTTCTCTACCACAAAGCAGGCTGGGAACCTGCTTTCTGCACAGAAATGTTATTAACTGTTATTTATTTTGCTGCTGGTCTCCCTTTCTCTGTTCAGGCTCTGGTGCTCTTCAGCTGATGTTTATTCGCAGTTGAATTCGCAGGCCTGGCACTCCATTGCCTTGTTCTCAGTATCCATGGGAACATTCACATTGTTCCACGGCTCAAAACAGGGATTCAGTGTCCACCTTCGCTTTAGAGATTCACTCCTCATCTGCTGCATGAGAGAGTGCCCTGCCTTCCTGCAGGACACAGAGTTTGAGAATAGGCTTTTCTACATTATTTCTGTATTCTTGTGTCCATCATTGAAGTGGAGAAACTCTCTCTTTGCCAGGATCTGAAAAGATGAGAGCTCTTTTCCTGAGTTTTTGCTGGCAAAAATAGAGCCAATGAAGGCAGTTTCCCAGCCACTCTGTGTCCTGCCCCTCTAAGAAAGCTGGATGAGGAGAGACATGCCAGGAGCTCCTGCCTCTCCAGGCACCCCAGCTGTTCAGTAACTCAGCACAGATACTGAGCCCTGGTCCTAAGTAGCTGGTTAATCCTTCTTGAGGATCTGTGCACGCCTCCAAGGTACTTTCTACACAGCAAGTCCAGCAGAATGGAGCAGCTCAGACTTTCCAAGATTTGTATTCACTTGCTGTTTCTCAGTGGGGGTCACCACTTGCCTCATCCCCTCGGACACCAGAGGTCCATGAATCAGCTGCACAGCGATAGCAGAGCCCACATGATGCTCATTATGCATCTCGCTGCTGGAGGAAAGCACCACCTTTGGTGCCAAGTACATTAGGGAGCATGCCTAGGTTTGAAAAACTCCATGGGAGGGAATCACAACATTTCTAAAGCTTGGCCTCTTGCATCACAAAAGCTGAGTGTGCTCCCCACCATGTCTCAGGCGGGCGATAACAGAAGTCCAAGGCCAACAAACAAAATGAACAGCTTTAAAACAACAAAGCTGTGCTGGGGTTTGTGTACGGTGTTTGCTGCCACAATCTGGCCCAGAGTCACCATCTCACATTTCCTTGCCAAAGTGATGGAAATATAAATAGGGGCTATAAACCCAAAGTATTTCCAGCTCATACATCCAAAGGATAGAAATTATAGTCTCTTAGCAAGGAAAATGTTCGAGGGTAGTGAGGTAATGGGACCTGGTTACAGAGCTCATTTCTCTGAAAATTTTTAATACAGCATGGAAATTTTTCAATGTCCTTGATGCGACCTCTGTTAACTTATAAAATAATCCCTTCTTTCAGTGGAAAAGCCCTTTCCTTCGAGAATGAACTGCTGAGCTCCATTTTGGGAACCATTTCTTTCCAGCTGCTGTTTCTAGATATTTTTGAATGGCTCCAAAGACAGAGTGTCAGCAAGGAATGAAATCTGGGCGCTTGAAAGATAATCCATTGCCTGTTGGCTTACCTAGAAAGGGCCTCTCTTGTCTGTGCATTAGCTGCAGGCTGCTGCTGTTGAACCATAGGACTCCAAGGTCCAATCTTGCTAAACAATATTCTGGAAGTCCATGCCATGAGTCACAGCAGCGTTTGAGAGGCTCTGCTCATTTGATTAATTACATTACCATGCCTGCCCTTCACTTGTTGACTCACAGCCATAAGAGCCCGGGATGTGCTGCGTATGTAGTAAACTGATTAAAGGGGGAATGTGTGTCAATGTATGGATGTGTACGAGAGCTTTTTGAAATCCCTTATGATCTTCCCACCCACTGGGCATTGCTTCAATACTGAGCTTCATCATCAGGAAACAAACTCTCTCCCTCATCTGCGTCGCACATTGCGAAGAGCTTGCCAAGTAGGGCCAAGCTTTTAGAAAGAAAAGAGAATCCCCCCACCAGAGAATTTATGACCCTTGGCTCTGCTTGTGGCTTGTTCCTGTGCATGCCTGAGTGACATGGAAACTGCAGAAAATCTGTTTGGCCTGTTTCTATGCTCTCACACTTGCAGCTACGTTGGATTTTTCCATTTTTTAATGACTAGGGGGTTTTGTTGAGTTTGTTACCTTATAACAAAAGCAATACACCATGAGAGGACCAGAGAGGAGATGCATGTGTTAGTGAAAAGAAAGGGGAAGGATGGAAAAGAAACAGGGAGTGGTTAGAAGTGCTTCTGGAGCATTTGACAGTAAAATACCACTCTCCTTGTCTCTTCCAGGTCCTTCAAGCCAGATTTTGTCCTGATCCGCCAGCACGCCTACAGCATGGCACTGGGGGAGGATTTCCGCAGCCTCATCATCGGCCTCCAGTACGGCGGCATCCACACGGTCAACTCCCTCTACTCCATCTACAACTTCTGCAGCAAGCCCTGGGTGGTAAGTGATGGTCCAGCCCTGCTGCACTCAGCACTGCCAAGGAGAGCTCTGGTGCCCATAGAAAGCCAAGCTCGCCTTCCAGGAGCTTCAAGGGAGTTGGTCTCTTTATGTTGAAATCTAAACAACCTTAGGAATGCAGGTGGGAGTTCTTGGGGGAAAAAGCCTACCAGCACTACTTCTTTATCAGCCCCTAGCTCTATCAAGGTGTTAATTCTTCACCCTGAGCAGGACGTTTCCCTTGTCCCAGACTCTAAAGGATCACCCATAGCTGACAGTGCAGAAACACCTGGATTTTGTGTAAGGCATGGGAAGGGCCCACATTGGAGAGTTCATGGAGGATTGTCTCCCCTGGGAGGGATCCCATGCTGGAGCAGGGGAAGAGTGTGAGGAGTCCTCCCCCTGAGAAAGAAGGAAGGATTGGTAGAGACAACATGTGATGAACAGACCAAAACACCATTCCCAATTCTCCTGCATCATTGGCTGGGAGGAGGTAGAGGAAATCAGTCCAGTCAGGGTCAAACCACCAGACATGTAGAGTTTTCAGTAGTCCCAGAATGAAATGCAATATTATCAGAAAATGTTGGTTCATCATTCAGCTGGTTCACTGCACCTTGCAAAGACTTAGGCTGAGTCAGCTCCTGATGAGGACAGGACAGTGTTTTGATATTTTGCACTGGAAGATCCCTTCACCCATTCTTTAAATTTTGTCAAGTTCACATCAGAATCTCAGAAAACCTTGAAAAATATTATTATTGCCTTTTCTCAGCCCCAAATCAAAGTATGTAATAATTCTCCAGACCATTTCTCTGAGCAGCTCCAAGGCTGCTGAAGCTGCAGAAGTAGGAGAGCTGAAGAGATAAGTTGGCCATGAGCCACAAGAGTAAGGCTGGCCATGGCAGTACCTGCAGAAGAAAGCCAGATCCTGATACCATTTTGGAGTTGGCATATCACCCAATTAAGTGGGATTTTGTTGTTGTTTTTTACCTTGGAATAAATATCCTAGTGGTCCTCAGTGTGTTGGTTGGTAGCTCAAGTCCAGACGAGGTCTGTAGGGACTCAGATTTACATTTACATGATTGGGCAGTGTTGGATTTAAGTAATTTCTTACTAAAATAATACTAGTATAATAAACAGAGTCTTTTCAGTTTTCCCTTTTACAACATTTATGGGGTTGGTTGACACCAAAAGATATTGTCTTTTCCAAAAATGTTGTCATGAAATAATCAGGGTAGTGAGAACAATCTCACTTTGCCATCACTGTATAGGTGGTTAATGTACATTTAACCTCAGTTTCCATTTGATTTTTCAGTTCCAGGCTCAGTAGAAGACCTTCACATTGTTTCTGACAAGTTGGTCCTAGACACAAGTGCATTAGACCTGGTGACCAGACAAAAAGCCTCCACATTTACACTGCCTTTTGCAGACAGTCATGTGGTCCATTCCATCTGATTTTGGGGTTGAGTCAGTGAGGGCTTAGTTGACACTTTGCAACTCACACCTTGTAATTACATTTCTGATGGTGTGAAGGGACCTCAAGATGTGAAAGGCCTATTTTTAGGCATCTAAAATAAAAGAAAACAAACAAACATAGCATATTAAAAAAAAAAAAAAAGAAAAAAAAAGAAAAAGTTGTTCTGGAAAGGCAGTGTGGGAGAACTTTGCTCTGCCAGCAGCTTGGCTCTAGCTACTCTGGGTCTGGTTGTGCCATGCTTTCCTCACGGGGAATACAGCTGGCACAGACAGCCTTCCCAGAGGAGTCAAGGAAACCACTTGCAAACAATTTAAACAGGTTTGCAGAATGCCTCCTTTCCTTGCTGCCCCTGCACACACATCACCCCCAAACCAGTGATTGTAACGTGCTCAGCAATCTGTAAGATTACATCAAATGAGCAATGCTCAGATGATATTTAAGCTCATGTAGAGATTGCAGTGGGGCATTTGAGGGCAAAACGTTTTACTGGCAGCAGAATTAGAAAATTTTGTTTTTCTGATAGCTGAGAAGTGAGAGATAGGGACACTTTGGTGCACGTTCCACTTTGATTGCAAAACAGGCATCTTGAAATAAGGGATCTGCATAACAAAGATTACTGGAAACTTTTTGGATCTAGAAAACAGTTGAGATGCATGAAGAAATGAAATTAAATACCCCTGGGAAATGTGCTTTTCACTCTCATTTTTTATTTTCTCAAAAAATGGTTCCATTTCATAGAAATGTTTATGATTTTGTGGAGGGGGATGAAATTGAGACTCTTTTTCCTTGGCAGTTTGCAATCATGTTTTATTCTCAGCAACTCTAATTACAATCAGCTGAGTTTGGGTTTGAGTTTACTCAAACATGCAGCCCCATTTTTAATGACATTTTCCAGGTTTCCAGTTCTGCAATACAAAAACCTCTTCAAAGATTAAAACAGACACAGTTTGAATTAGATGCTTCTGAGAGGAAAAAGTATTCAGAGGGTCTCACACCCTGAGAGAAGCATTTAAAAAATCTAAGTTTTAAGATGATCCCGGAACTATTGAGAAATAATACTACAAGCACACTAAGCACAATGCTTCCACCACCAATAATAATTTCAGTGTTAGAATTCTAAGTTGCAGTCCAAAATACAGAACACTCAGAGTAGTGCTCACATTGCATGCAGGTAATGTCTGTAATTGCAAAGCAACTTTTATATATCTAAGGCAGCAGAAAACATGAAATTTTTCTGACAGTCACCTCCTGATTCCAGGGACTCCTAGCCAAACTGTTATTGACTGTCAAGGGATATAGGCTCTCTGATGACCTAGTATTTTCAAAATATGCAAGAGGCCTTAAGGTCCTCTGAATGGATCTTTTTATTTCTCTGTAAAGACTCCCTGCATGTAACTCTGATCTCCAAATAGTCAGGCCAAGGCACTTCCCTTGTGTTCCTACCTGTGCCAGGTACCTAAAACCAGGCTGTGCCACACTGCCTTGCCCCATGTGTTATCTGTGGTTTGGATGCAATCTCACTAAAACCAGTGAAACAACAGAAAGCAAGAACTGCTGCCAGCATGTGGAAGGTGTGGTTATATCTAGCAGAGCTGCTGACAACTGTATTCCTACCCATCTGCATGGGGAGATGTTACTCGAGCTCTGTTATCAGGTGTCTCAGAGGCTGCTGCACCACGTAACTGTGGGAGTCTCTTCGTCAACATCCTGTCCCTAACAACTGGTAAAAAAAAAGAAAATGGGAGGGAACTGTCCCATGAGGGGCAATACCAAAGTCAGACCTTTTTGCAGGCTTGGCCCAGTGACGAGGCTCCCAGATGTCTGAATCTCTCATCTGAAACTCTCTCTATTTCAGCAACAGCCAAGAGCTGTGTGCTTCAAAAGGAACAAGTCAGAACTTTGTCTATCAGCTGCACAGTTGTTCCAGTTATTTTGTTTGAGCTGTTTTCCCAGGATAAATGTACATTGCCTCAACATCACGGTGTCCATGGTTCACCAGGGCTGCGTGCACACACAGCAAGGGGCATGGGCTGTTCTCCACCAGAGTGTTTTTCCTTCTCTGGCTGTCTCTGGCTCATTGTGTTTAACTTTTAAGTCCTGTTTGCTCACCTTGCTAGTCAAAACAGGGCTTTATTTTTCTTTTCTAGAATGTGCAGGGCTAGTGCAAGTAGTTAAGAGAAGCAAGCTGTCCTCCTTCCACAACATCAATATCCTCCTTGCCAACAATAATTATTCTACATTGGGAGTTTTTCCTCTTATCTGCTGATGCATGTGAGGGTGGTGGTGGTGTTAGTGATGGGATATGCTGCCTCTTGATGTTTCCTGGATTTTCTTTAAATACTGTGTTCTGAACTACGAGATTAGGAAAAGGATTCTTTGCATTTGTCTGCAAATCTTCTGGCAGCTGCTCCTTCAGCACTTGGCCTGGGTCTGGCACACACCTTGCAGCCTAATTTTTTTGCACAGTGATTGCATGCCAAGACTTAACTCTCAAAGGGGTATTTCTTCTCTGCCAGCAAATGAAGTTTCAACTCCTCATGCAGCAATTCCTTTGCTTAGACTAGCCCAGTAACCAGGAGAGAAGCCTTAACAGGGCTACTCAGTGGAAAACATCCTCAGTAGTTCTCTCTACCTGCAATGTAACCTTGGTGCTGTGATTTGATGCATTTGCTGGCTCCAGCTGTTGCCCAGAAGTGCTCAGAACATGCAAGATTAAGCGGCTAATGCTATTGGGAAGAAAGGGAGCTTGCTTTTCTTTCCCTTCTTCCCTGGACGTCTGTTTCCTTCCCTTAATCTGTGTGTTACTTCCCTCAGGTGACACAGGGATCTCCTTCAAGATTAATACATCCCTACCTTTGATGGGCAACTTGAGAAACTCATGAAAAGGACTTAAAATCTGTCCTTACTTGACCCAGGGTGTAGACTTTTATTAATTAACTAGATTTTACCAGATTCTGGGGCGCTTGGAAACTGAATTCAATTTATAAACTACTTTGTGAATAGGGCTTAACGGGAAACTCAGTCCTATCTACCACCTCAGCAGTGGTACCTGGGGTACCCACCCCAAACATTTTATTCTCTTACACAGCTGCCAGTCCAACCACTTCACCAACAGCCTTGCCAGTTCAGCACTGTCTGTGGTAACAGGGCTGTGTCTAAGCTTCTCCTGAGATTCTGGGACATGCATCACCTCTTACTCTCTTTGGTATCTCAACCCTGCCTCAGAAACATTTTTCTGTCATGTTTATTAGGTTTCTCTTTTATAGTTTTGATTTTTTCTCTGGGTGAGGAATGATGGATTGAACAGGGAGGCTGCAGACAACATACAGAATAGTCTGCTTGTTTCACAGATGCTGAAGCAGAGTAGGAATTTGCTGTGATGTGTTTTGCTTCTGTTGGGGTTTTGGAACCTGAAGAGAAATCAAAACTCAGTCCTACCACGGGGATCTTTGTGTCTGGTTGGGCACAACTCTGAATGATAAAATGGTGATAATATAATGGTGATGATGGTGAAGTTCATGCTTGATGAATGGGGACAATGACAAATGTCCCTCCTTGTGTGTGAAATACCAGAGTGGTCGCTGTCCCCATTGATATTACATACTGCTCTCTAGACACCGTCCTCAGAGACTGGGCCTCCCTCAGACCTCATGGTAGATGGGACAGGGACAGGCAGATGAACCCCTCCCTCTCCTGTCATTCCTGAAGGGCTGTTGGGGGGCACTTAGTTCGCAATAAATGTCAGTTATGATTAACAGTGGGCTCCTACTCCCTTGGTCTGACACTCAAGCTCTCTAGTAATTGCTGTCCCTTTAGCAATCCTCTGGCACGAAGTACCTTGCTTGGATTTGGCTGTGGGGGAGAGATCCAAGAGACAGCTTTGGTTTATTTGGTGTCTGATGGGAGTGGTGGCACTGATTTCCTGGCTCTATCCTCTACTAAGAAAGGCTCCTCTCCCCAGCTGTATTTGGAATGCAAATCTTGTTCATGGTAAATCTGTAAGTAAATGCAAATTGATTCCCTCCTGGCTCTTGAATCCCTTCTATGCTCCCTTAGTCCAAGGTTTGTGTACATAGGCTGGTTTGGCCATGGATAAATACAGCAGCTTCATATTTTCTTGCTGCTCTCAGGTCAAGAAAGCAAGAAGGGAAAGACATGATAATGTTTCATCTCCTTCACCACTATCAGAACATTTTTGCACACATTTGCCTGTTGCACAAAAAGTCACTGACATCCACTGTATCTGTTTTTTGTTTCCTCTCCCTCATGCCAAGTTCTCTCAGCTCATTAAAATCTTCAACTCGCTGGGCCCTGAGAAGTTCCCCTTGGTGGAGCAAACGTTCTTCCCAAGCCATAAGCAGATGGTGAGTAGATTTGCTTTCTTCTGATGTTATTATGGATGGGGTGGAAACAATGGATGCAGGTTGGGCACAGGAAATGGTGGCAGGAATTCTGAGAAGAGTCTAAAATTTTCTTAAAGAAAAATACTAACTAAAAAGTACTTTGCAAAAGGCACTGCTTGGGAACCTCTTTCCTTTCTTGCCCAGCCCTCCCCTAGGTCATGAAAGGACCCTGAAAAAATGTACAGAGGCTCAAAACTGAAGCAGAACTCCATTGTAAAGCACAGTCAACAAAAAGCTCATCCCTTAGAGAAAAGAATCACTCTATTCAGATAAAGTGGATTTCCCTAATCCTGGAATTGTTTAAAATATGCTGGCAATTTGGGACATGGGTCCTAAAGAGATGTTTGTTTCTGATGTTAGTTTGCTTGGTCTGTCACATGCTCACCATCCATGAAACGTTTATCAGCCTGAAGGTACTCAGGGTAACATGGAGCTCTTAAAAGAGTTTGTTTCAGCTTCTCATGTTTTCTTTGCACAGTGCTCTGGGGTCTGGTATTTCTGTCAACAGCTACACACTCAGTGGCCTGTGTGGCTGCTGGGCACAGTACCAAACTCTTAGAGCACCTTCCAAAGAAATCTACGTAGGTGCCTTTAGTCCTGGAGAACATGGCAAAGAGAGGGGCTTTGTTTAAAGCTGCTCATGGCTCTTGTTTTCCCTGCATTAAAAGAAAGACTAGTCCTTTGTGAGTTTCTGCTCCCAACTTACAGCCATGAATTAATGACTCTTCCTACATGGCTAAGGCTTTGATGAAACCCTGTATGAACCATGACCCCCTGTGTGACCACTGGCTGGCTGAGCTAATTTCCCAGGCTTGACTGTGAACTCAAACAGCTTTGCCAGCCTGAACATGAGGGTTGTTGAGGTGTCAAACTGAGGCTCAAAAATATTCAAACCCCTGTTTTCTCACAAACTTGTTGCAACACTGTGGGCCAGCCACAACACAAAACAGGGTGTAGGTACACGATCATCTAGTTACTTGTGAAAAATCCCACTGCTGCCTGCTAGGTATTCAAATATTTCGAAATGCCAGTCCTTCACCTCTGTGTTCCAATACTCTGCTCTCTACTTGTGTTGTGTAGACTATGGCACTTCCATGCTTCACTGGCACATCGTGGAGGTAAGTACAGTCAGGAAGTTGTATTATCAGTTAAGGCATAAAGAAATGGATAGTCCTTGAACAATTCTTGTGCATTTATAAGATTAATTAGGTGCATAGCTGTTGCATTTAATTCCTAATGATTTATGAACAAGGTTTTGTGACAAGTAATGCTTCAGGACAGTTGTGACTTGGACCACCATTTCAGGAATGGCATTTTTTGAAGACTTTATAAAGGTTATCATTGCAAATAAGTTAGCACTTCTAGCACCATTTTTCTTGTCTGGCTATCTGATTCTTAGTTCCTCAGGTGTAGATGTATTTTGTACCAGCCAAGTAGTTCAGTTTACCACTGATCTTAATATCACTTATTTTCCATCTTTATAACTAATCACCTATTTGGAGGTGCTATTACTTCCAAAAGGGTACAGGAAGCCTTTTAAACGGTAGGTAATCTCTTTCTAAACCTTTAGATTAAACAGAGAAGAGATTCAATGATCTCTTTCATTCTTTCATCTTTGTAGAGACTAGATTTTCCAAGAGTAAAAAGTGAGATACAGGAAATTTCTAACAGTAGGTCCATTTTTGTGAGCATTTCAACTTATCTGAAGATGCTTTTACTGAAGCTTCTTTCTCATGATAACAGGGCACTTTTAATCAGCCTTAAACAGTAAACCAAAAGAGAGGACACAAGATTTTGACATTTCACAGCAGAAAAAATCAACCTCTGTTCTCTTTGCCATGGGCATGCACTTTCAGACCTCTCCATAATGATCAGTTTTCTGGAAATAAGAGCAATCCGGCAAGTTTTCTTCCAAGGACCTACTGGTGCTACAGCCAGCCCTAATGACTGCCTTGCTCTGTACTGACCTCCTATGGCCAATTAACAACTGGGAGCCATTAACTTCAAAACTGATTTTTCGCCTCTCCTGGGCTTATGACCACAGTCACAATTCTTGGAGAGAACAACCTCTTAAAAAGAGGAGGGGAATCCTGAAGGCATCTTTGCCAAAGCACAAGAATTGCCAGAGGTGGAATATCTGCTTTGGGACCAATAAAAGGGTATCAGGAAGGGGTAGGAAATTAATAAATCCAGTAGCAAATCCATTTGTGTACATTTGAAGTCGACAGAAACCAATATAAGTGAAGCAGAGACAGAATGTCTGTGATAGAAATAAAACCACTTTTACTGTTTAGAATAAAAGGACACTATAAAAAGTGAACATTATGCAACATTACCTTAAAAGACAATATACATTCACTGAATATAAAATTTATAAATAACATGGAGGAAAACTGTAAACAGTGCTAGAAAATTTAGCAACAAATACATTCCTTCTGGACAAGATTTTTCACATGGGTTTGGTTCTCTCCCCAAGTTTCCATGACTATCAGGAACAGCAGAGTGGCTCTATGAAGGAAGGACAGTGTCAGAGAGAAGGAGAAGCCAGTAAAAGCAAAATAGCAGCAAATGTTTAGTGGGTTATGGTTCTTTTTTTCTCAAGACTGGTGGCCCCAACCATCACTTATTCTAAAAGGGACAAAAGTTTTTTGCAGTTCCCTAAATTCTGTTCTGTCCTTCTAAGCTATAAAGCACATTATAAGTGAGAAGTATTTTCAGAGACATCAGCAAGGATGGAAGCTTGTTGTCAGAGGCCTTTATTTCCAACAATCTTTACTGTTAAAAATCCAACAGTATGTTTCCCATCACTGTGAGGTAGCATTTCACTCTGACAAGTATGAATGGGGTACAATGATAGATTTAGGTTTTAGAATTGTCCTACCTAAAGGGCCACATAAGTCTTCAAAATACGGGAAATATATACATTAAAATGGCAAATTTTTTTCCCATGCAGGGTAGGTACAAGCCTCCCACAAGAGGACTTTATTTAAGAAACTCCATGCACAGATCTCCTACTTTCTACCTCCTCCATTTTGGAAAATACAAATAGAATCTAACCTTTCCCAAACTTTCAATATACACTTGTCATTTTAAAGGGAAAAAAACTCTCAAGTGTGTAAGGAAAAAAAATTTGCATAAATAAGAAACTGAAGAGCTTCAGTCTAGAAATCAGCTATGCACTTTAAAAAGTATTTCTAATAATGTTGGTATGTCTAAAGCATGATGGCAGGGAGTGTGTGTGTAATCTTGGACATCCATTGGCAGGCAGAAGTGACTTAGCAAGGCAGAAGAAAGGAGAGCTGACAGAAAGGAAGAAGTCTTTGAGTCTGATTTAGAGCCTGTTCAATCCATGTAATGGCTTCCACTTCAGGAGTGCCTTCAGGCAGGTCGTCAATGCAAGCACAAGCCCAAGAAATGCATGTCCCTGATAGCATCCACAGAAACAAAATAAAAAAGCTTCCCAAAAGAAATGTATTTTCACTGGATTGTTCCCCCTCTTTTCGGCTCCACATTTTGAAAAGCCTTAACAACTGTTTCTTTACACACCAAGGGCAAAGATTTGCCACCAAACCTCTGCCCAGGCCAGTCTAGCTGTTTGCATCTCAGAAATATTTTACCATCTGCAAAACAAAGTGGGAATATGCTTCACTTTCTGGTAATGTATCTGCTGGTTTGTTGTTTACAAAGCACATAGCTACATTATATCCTACGTAGGGACACAAGTCCTGATAGTATTAGAACGCAAATATTTTCACAATAATTTGAGTGCAATACTGTGATGTCTCAGCTAGCTAAATGAATCAGTGACAGGTAAAATACGCAGAGCTGCAGTTTAATGAAAATTCAAATCAACACTTTACCGCATCAGGGGGCATTTTTGTTTAGCTTTCCAAAGCTGTGAGAAGTGGCTGCAGCTCACAGAGACGCCAGCTTTGCCAAGTCACCTTGAGCTTGAGGAGGGCCACATCCTGAAATGCTGACTCCAAACAATGCAAACACTGAGGGTGGCTGCATTCTGCCCTCAGTGACCCTCACAGATTTTGTCAGCCATACACAAATCAAGCAGAGATTGTTCCACTGGGGCCAAAGTCCAAATCCATATTTTGGCAAAAGGAAAATATTTCTGAACCACCACCTGATCCTGTGACGGGTGTCATGAAGCACCCTACTCTCCCTCTCATCTCCAACCCATAATTTAGGAGTAGTCACAGGGAAGAGGACTTCTGAGAAGTGTTCCAAGTTTAAATCACAGGAAAATCCAATAGACTTTCAATGTGTTTTGTGCTGCATTGCCACTCAGAGCTGCTGGGAAAAAAAAAAAATATATGCAGCAGACCTAGGCACCTCTTACAGCAACTCTGTGAAAATACCCTTTAAAGTTCATGCTAAAAATGAAGCTTTTTGCTGCAACAAGTCATCCAGCAAATGGGGCATTTCAGAGGGCGTACATCTGGCAGAGCTCTGGTAGCACGCAAGGAACATAAAAACACATCAGGGCCCGTCTCAGACACCCTTTCTTTTCCATTTGGCAAAGAGGTTCTAAACAACTCTCCAGTAATTGAGGTCACTGACGGCAAAATGCTGTATTGCCCCAAGCTGGAATCACTGCAACAACTTTTTCCTGCTGGTGGCAGCTCTGCTTTCTAAGTGGAATGAATGGAAGATATATGGAAACTTAAGATAAATAATCATAATAATACAAAAATGAAGTTAAGCACAATCTTCTCCCTGCCCAAGCCCTCCCCATCCAAAACTTAGTCACCCATTTTGTCAGCACCCCTTCTTCACCATCATTAAAACTTAAAATACTTTTATTTGATAAGAAAAATTATATTATAGTTTTCTTAATAATAAAAAACCAAAATAGAATGAAAAAAAACTTCTCCAGTCAACAGCAAAGCACAAGACAGTAAGGCTTCTCCTCCTACATGACTGCAGGACATGGTATGAGCACATGCACAGGGCTATGCTTAACGGTGCCTAGAGGGAAACACAGCACTTGACACAGAAGGAATCCTCCAGGCAGCTGAAAATTTTATGATCCCAGACAACACTTATTAGGAGACCACTTTTCCTTGCCTAGCCCACACACACACTTCCTTTCACCATATAAACAAATGCAGCTATTGTAGCTGCAGGGGAGGAACCGTGGTGCAAGGAGTTACAGAGGAAACAATGACTGTAGCCACTACTGCAGATACACTGGAGCTTCAATACCATAAAAGCAACTCACCAACTCGGAATGTCAATATTTCTGTCTTTAAAACACAATGAAATCATTCTTTTGTTTATAACACCAAGAAAATTCCACATCCTGTCAAAAATAGCTTATGTCATTATGCGTATATACATCTTAGTTCAGCAAAACACTATTTTGGCAATACTTTTTTTTTTAAATAGCAAGAGTTCTAGCAAGTCTCCCCTTTCCCTCATGCACGTGATTGATTTACAGTTGTTATTTTTGCATCTGTTTGGTTTAAGGTGTTCACAAGCTGGTTTTGCTGTTGAAGCCAAGTTGCAAAAATTTCAGGGGCCAATGCTGTTCAAAACAGAATGGGACAACCCTTCATATGCTCTGCTGTAGTTGCATTTACCTCCCTGAAAATAGGGGACGGGGCTTTTGTTTTTGAAACAACAACAACAACAAGAATACAAAATACTCTCTTTTGTTCTGGAGAAAGCCAGAACTTCAAACGTGCTGTTGCATTCACACTGTGACTGAATTAGCAAGGACAGTCAGTCAACAATGCTTTTACCAGATGATGTGGTCAGACACACCAGGTAAAGTCTCCCACTGCTGGAGTCAATCACATTGCCAATCTCTCCTAGAGAGGAGAATTTCTTTTTATGTCACTTTAAATCCAGCCTAAACTCTGGATATTTTCATTTTGCTTTATTTGCCTGATTAATCTGGTAAATGAAATCTGTTTCCCTTAAAATAGATTTTTCTATGTATTTTCAGCACTTAGTGCATGAGGAGGGGTGATGGGAAGCCAGCATATAGAAGAATACAGTGCCTAATTGGCATAGTTTTTAGATTTTTGTTTTCCTAAAAAAATAGAGATTATATTGCTACAGCTAATGATACATGTAAGAGAGCAAGAGCTCCATCTTCTCTTTTTTTTTTGCCTTTTTTTCCCTCCCATTTTTCCCTCTGGTGTGCAAAAGTAAGCTCCCAAATGTTGTCTGATCAAAATGAGTGGTATCAAAAATGGAAAAGGTGATTACAAATTCAGTAAGGTAGCACAGACTTTTTCCTTTCCTTTTTTTTCCTTTTCTTTTTTAAGTGTTCGAAGTGCTAGAATTTGCATGAAAATAGGCACTAATTTCATTGTCATCATCACAATCTGATAAGAGTTAGTGTCCAAAGGAAGATCAGCCACAAGTAAGGGATAGGGGAGATAAGGAAAGGGAGAGTTGCTCAGGGATCTGTGGCATTGATTATCGTTTTGTCTGGAGGTGCCCATCCTCTGTACCAGCTGCAGTAGCCTTCCACCCTCTGGATGCAGGCATAGTGCTTTGCTTGATATCCTGAGTGGCCGAAGTTGGAGAGCATGTCTGTCCAAATGCACTCATTCTTGGAGGTGGCAAAGCAGGGCAAATAGTAGCACGGCCTAATCTGCAATTGGAAAGAGAAATCAGGTAAGGCTACATGAAAAAACAACATTATATAAAATGCCTTTTTAACAGAGAAAAGTGATTCAAAATTCCACTGCCTCAAACCTTCCTTACTAATCCAAAATTCAGCCTCGGTTCTGTAAGCACGTAAGCATGTGCTTAGCTTCACACACACAGCTAATTCCATAGTCAAAAGGGCTTTTCAGGTGCAGAAAAGTTGAGCTTATGTCTATGTTTTTGCAGGCCTGACGCCGTGTGCAAAAGTCTTAGTTCCAGTGCCAGGCTGTAGGGTTTTTAAGTACGGAAAATGTTTACACAGGAAAAAAGCTTGACATCTCTTGCCAAGCGTTTGGTGCCTGATTTCATTCACCTGCAAATGATTCTGCATAGATTCTGAAAGTCTTCTCCAACCCTAATTAACTCCGACAGGATATTAAAGGCATAGACTTTATTTGATTGTCTCTTCTCTGGTCTCAACACTAAAAATGAACTTTACTTCTTCTCTGTAAAAATGGTTGTCCTCCTTTTCTCTTCCTGGCCATTCTCTGGCATCATTGAGTATTACCAGCCAGGAGAAACAGAGTTCTTGGGCTTGAATGTCTGAATGCCACCTCAGAGACACACATACCTTGCAGCCACAGCCCAGGTGATAACGGTGGTTCAGTCCTTTGCGCTGGGACAGAGTCAGCCGGTCCCATTTCTCATACCAGTTGCACAGGCCAGTGTAAACCTTCCCCTCATACACCCGGCCTTGAAAACAGACATGGTCACAAGTTAGCACTTCTCAGCTCAAGCACTTCTCTCGTTTCCTGACATTGCTAATGCTCTCAATATGTTTGGCTTCAGCCATTGCTCAGCAAATGCTTTCTTTTTATTAACTGGTTCAGGAATCTCTGGCCAGCAAGATAACAGCACTTCTGAAAGTCAGGAGTGTTGTGCCAGCTGAGAGCACCTCCAACAACATGCAGGTTAGTAAGGAGCAGCTGTCCAGCTCCTCTGAACAACAGAGCAAGTGAACTGACACCTTCCCTAGAAACAAGACTTTGCAACTGCCACATGTCCATCCCCCTGCATCCCCCCATCTCAGCAGCCTGCATTTCTCCAGCTCATTCCAAAAACGACTTTCCATTTCTGACACAGCCTAGTAACACCCAGTTCCCTGTGACAGACATGCCAGCTCAGGTATACATTGAGAGCCATGAACTGTCATACAACATACTTGTCACAGCATGCCTGGGTATAAGATACAGTTTAGGAAAGAGAGGGACATCTAAAGAACGAAGTGACTCTCAGAGTCATTCAGAGTACTGAACACCAGAATACTGTTGGCCACCTTAACACTTAGGAAAGGGTCTACAGAGCTGTATACATCACTGCCTGTGTCCTTAGCAGGTATATGTATAAAACAGAAGAGCTTTTGCTTAGGGAAAAGTATAAGGTCCTTTACCTGTAATCAGATATTGGTACTTGTTGACCTCCAGCTTGACTCCACAAAGACTCTCAGAAGCTTCTGTGTAGATGTACTGAACATGTGGCATTATTTGGAAGCCCCTGTACATCTAGAGAAAGAATACAAACACTTTAAGTCATCTTAAGGGGACAAATTTCACTTAAGGTTCTTTACAATCTACAATTCCTAGGTTTTGGTGGTAAGCAATAAATTTTCTGGCTTTTACATGAATGAAGGAATAATGACACTGGCTCGACTCCCTACTGGATCTGCTGGTAAAGCAGAAAAACCACCTGCTAATAAGCCATTGCAATTCAGCACAGGGACCAGTTTTTCCCATTCATATTAGTTCCAGTGGCACAGACTGAACAAAGCGCCAATGCTGCAGGCTCTGCCAACATCCTGAAATTTTTTTCCCCTTATAAAGGTCATAATTAGGGAGAAATAAAATTCGTTCAAGCTTGGAATCTTTCTCCTCTATGTGAGTTAAACAATTTCTTCCAAACTAAGGGGTTTTTCTTTTAAACAATTACCCTATTTTCCAGTGTTGTTGCTGTAGGTTTCAAACCTTTGGCGCTTGAGCTAAGTCATCAAGCCAGACACCTCTTTCTCAAACGTGTAGCACACGCTGCTCCTGCTGACCTCAGCAAAGACTTAATGTTTCTCTAACTCAATGAATGCAGACATTGAATCCTACACCATCTTCTAAAATTAGCCCAGTACTGATGGGCACCATAAAGAAAATATCATGTATACATAATTCCTCTACACTCCTCCTTCTTCATAATCTTTCTTCCAGCTCAGTTTAATCGAAACATGAGCCCACAGATACACTGGCAGTTGGATTCAGTCAGAAATTAGCACATGTCCCCATCTGACCTGGCCTTACTGCTGCAGTTTAGAGAAACTCATGCCCACCTGTTAGCAGCATAATGAAGTCTTTGCATAGCAATGAAACAACCACTACATGTGTACATTGGACCCATTAAACATATCTTATTTTTGAAACACAGAGGATTATTTTCCTGAGAATTTCATCTTTAAAATTTATCTTTTCAAAGCATTCAGTCACTCTTTTTGTTTGCCAACTCCATGAATGGCCAATATTTAGAAGTAAAATAAGAAACAATACAAGTCAGAGGGAATCAGTTTCCTAGGATTTCCCAGCCTATCCTTTTCTCTCTCATCTTTACTGATAGATAGATACTGATAGATAGCACATTCACATTCAGTTTAGTAAGTATAAGTTATTTAGGCAAAAGAGGACCAAAAAATCCCAAACAATCCCCAAGCTATAGATCCTTGCTGCTGTGTCACCCAAGCTGTAGAATTCTTCTCCAGGCTGCATCCTAATCCCTAAAGTCCCCTATTACCCCCGTATTTCACCATTCCCCCACCTCCTTTAAAAGCAAATATTTTTCTTTCTGAAAGAACATCTGTTAATTTAACAGACTTTATGCTTGGCCTAAATACTTGATATAAAACCATAAATAATTACTACTAGTTCTGCTATGCTGAGAGGCCAAATTATCTTTGGAGCATCTACGGAATGTCAGCCAGGTGAGTTTTTTTCTCCTCAGATAGATTTCCCTAATCAGCATGGTCTTATAACAGTGTCACAACTCAGTAACAGTACTTTCTTTTATACCCAGCTAACATGCAAGGAAAGTATATTTAAAAATTAATCTTACTGTATCAACAAAAACTCACAGATCATACTTGAAATACAACATTGTTTCTGTAAGTGGCCAAAGTCTTTCAATGGATACGGGAGAAGTGAACTTTACCTAATCTCTGCTTTATCCCTGCAAATTTTTTTGGTATTGGATGACCTACTCAGATTTTCCAATCCAATCAACCCAGATGAAGATCTAGATTCTGGCGCAAGCATCCAGTCCCTCCGTGGATGAGTTATTCATCCCTCAGCACACTTTTTTCCCTTGTATCCCAAGGGTACTGTGAGGAAAGGCACATAGAATAAAGGTCACGTGTCCAGACCCCTTTCTAGTGGATGTCACACCAAGAAGCTCAGATAACAGTATCTAAGCAGACAAAACTAGCTAAGATAACAGCTGGGGCTGCCCAGTCCCTCCAGGCAGTGCATTATCAACACTGCAGAGAGCTGCACACTGTGCATGGCAGAGCAAGAGATCTGTCACTCACAGTGCCGAGCTCCCAGTCATGTTGGGCTAATTAGGTATCTGTTATAAGGTCTGTATGTGGGCAGGCACACTTGGAGACCTTTCTTCCTCTTGCCTACAGGGCTGTGAACTACATTAATCATTCCCCTGGGAAGCTGCTCAGGTCCTTCCTACAGGACTGTTACAGTCATCACTTTTTGCATCTTCTGAGCCATCAAGCCCAACGTGACTGTCTAGGAAGTAGCCAGTGATGCTGACCTGGGGCTTGTTTTTCAGCTCCCAAACCTAATTTCCTGTTCACATTGCCATCAGGGCCACCGCTGTCAGGGCTGCTACAGAAAGCATGCTCAGCCTCCCAAAAAGCACTTCCACTCAGCCCTCAGTGACCCACATCAATGGCAGCCACTGCCACGCTGGCTGAACCCATGTTGGGGTAGACAGGACCTCCCACACCCTCTGATGACTGAACAAAATTCACCAGGATGACCTTGGCTCTCAGGAAAGGAAAAAGAAAGCTGGGCAAGGGAGAATCTTCTACAGATGTCTACTGTTAGAACAAATAAAACAATACCTTGAGCATTATTTTTGGATATACAAAGTGTCTTGCAAGTGCTGTTAGACCACTCAGAGGAAACCCATTCATAAAGCCAGCTTTTCTCCTAACCGCTACCCTCAGTTCTCCTGTCCCCACGAATTTTTGTGTATTTTTGGAAACATAATAACAGGGAATAAAGTATTAGCAAGCATGACATGGTGATGTCTGCTAGTGCTGCTCTATTTCCATCTGTGTCAGCATTCCCCTTAGTAGCCCCCATATCACCTCAGAAATGCACAGGCAAATCTTGTGGTAGTTCCTGCTGCTTAAACGCCTTCACCCTGTAAAACTGCTCATGATGTTCCTCCCTCTATCCCTCCCATGTGAGGTTGCACTAGATACCAAGAGCTGGGAGTCACACCTTGCCTAACCCTCAGCTACCTAAAATATAGGAAATTCACAGGAATTAGGCATACTCTCTAGTCAAATGCCAAGAACAGACACCTCCAGAACAACTCAGCCCATCCTAAAATAGCTGCCTACAACTTGTGTACTAAATTACACTTTGGTGGTTCCTCTCTCTACCCATTGACAATCAAGAGAGCTGGAAAGACTCAACATCTCATTTTAGTCTGTCTAAAATTAAACTAAATTAATCCTACCCCACCTCTTTCCTCTTGGGACTATCACATTTCCCCCCACAGACTCATTTTACAGATAAGCAACAAACTAAGGAAAGTCTCCTTGCTTCTGGCAGCCTGTGTAGGGTGCTGCCATGGTCAACCAGGACTGTTTGTGCTCACGGAGGAGAAATATCTTATCTCCTTGTTTCCTTTGCAGTTTCCTGAAATAGGCTTGGGCCATTCTCAGAATGCACTTGCAAGATCACAGAACACATAGGGGTTAGATCAGTCCTGTGCAGATTTATGACATGTGATCTCAAAGTATTCTTATATTATTTGAGAAAGCAGTGGGGAGAGGCAGAGGTTGCTTGGAAAAGCACAAGGCCTCTTCAGATAACAAATCTGAACTCCAGAAAGCCTGGCACTGTTCTGTCTCTGTGGGCTGACCTTGTGCTCCAGTCCAGGCCTCAAGCTGGTTTAGTTGTGAAATGCAGCAATGAGTTCAGGAATGTTAGTGAGATCAAGAATCTTACCCAGCAAAGAATTATGGAGACGGTTTGTTGCCCTTTAAGGCTTTCAATGCTTTCCACAGGCAATTCAGCACACACTGATAGACTAAATGGCTTGTTTATTTTTCACCTGCAGGTGCAGAAGGGTCTATGCAGACTGACATTTTAGTTTTATCTTCAGAGTTGTTCCCATGCAGCTGTGCAGAGCCATAGGCCTCCTTAGTTCTCTTTTCAGCAGGAGGACAGTCAGCTTTCATTGGAGCAAGCAAGGGAGAAATTTGCTGCGTCACTCTGAACTCCCCCACTGTACGGATCTAAATCTCTCTTTATACCCAAGTCTCTAAGCTCAGCAGAAAGACAGCAGGGTTTCCAAAGAAGACACTTGGTTTGTTTGTTTGTTTATAAAGAGCTATGTCCGGACATTCCAGTCCTACTACTGAGCACTTTGCTTCAGGTTCCTTCCTGCCAAAGGTCACAGTCAAATGTCCAGTGCATCATCCCACCAGCCCACCATCTAAACAGCAGACAAGAGCAGTCTGACCAACACACAATTTCCTCTTTAAAAATCCCTCTTGCTTTTGTTGGACACATTACTTCCTAACAAAACACTGTGGAAATGGTCCTGCAGAAAGGCCCTGTGCTGCAGAACAACCCAATGAAAACAGCCAGGACAGGCTCAGGTGTTTTATTTAGTTAGAAGAGGGGCAATGTGGTAAAGGGTAGTAGTTCATTTCAGGGTCTACCATTATTCTAGATCACTGTTCATAGTCATATGTTAGACAGGAAGCATCAAACTCTTGGCACTGAGAAGGAGGAAAATTAGTGGTACTGGACAGACCAAGATCAAATCAGAAAGACAAGCTGATGAAGCTACTGCAGCATGTGGGCACTGAGTAGTTTTGTGAAGCAGGTACACTTGCTGAACTGGAGAGTGACAAAACTGGAGAAGAACCTCACAGAGTGCTGCAAGTCTGATGAGGTCAACAGCCATAAAAAAAGTGTCAGTGTTGTCTCATTATTGCCAATACAACCAGTTGCCTTTTTTTTTATTATTTTTTTTTACAAATATGTATTTCCTTTGGAATCCTGTAGAGAAATTTTTAAGGTTAAGGAAGTCAACAAGCCCAGCAAATCACGTCCTCTTATTCAAAGTGCAGGCATTCCACTCCTGTGGAAGAGCCATGCCAGGACCAGATTTGGCTACGTTCATGGTTTTGCGACAGCTTATGAAACAGGCTTTGCATCTCCTCCTCCCCGCTTTCGTGCTTAGCTATAAACTGCCTTATAAAGAGAGTTACTGTTACAAGGCAGGCAAGTGACTGGTTTTTTCTGAACCTTTACTTTGTCTAATATGTTTCAGATTTCTGCAGTCTCTGCCAAGCTTTTCCATTCCCTTTCTTTTTTTTTTTTTTCCTAAAGACATAAACCAGTCTTATGACTGGAATGGCATTGCCAAGAAAAACAATCTAAGACTGATTTTTAGCATTACATAACAAGGGGGCAGTTTAAGAAAAAAACCCAAGTCCAAAGCAGCAGGTTGAGTGAAGTTTATGCAGCAAAAAATTAGAGCTCAGAAGAAAGAAACTAAAGAAATCAAGCTACTGGTGTTGTTCTACTTCTTTTCATCTCTCAATCAATACTTCCCAACTCTTCTAAGCTGACAATATTTAAAAGTTATAATGCTCCGTTTAGCTTTATATAAAGACTTCACTATATGATTTTCATTTGTTTAGTACATGGAAAAAATGTCATAACCCTAACTAGTGGTCATAAAGAAAGCAAGGAAAGAAGAGAAGCGAGCACTCTCCCAAGGCTGGCAGACCCCCCACCATAATTTCCTTCTTGGATTTAATGAAAGTGCTGCATGGAAAAGCATTTCTGTGCATGTTGAACACAAAACACGTCTTCAGTACCTAGAGAAGACCATCTGGCATATTTTACTACCAGAAATCTTAAGATAATGGAAGAATTCAGGTATTTAGTGCTGTATGGCAGGAATGATCTCCTCCTGCTCCTTTCCCTTCTTCAGGCAAATTTCTACCAGTTTCTGGTTTCCTTCAATTCTGTCGGGCCAGTACAAAAAGTGGAGGTGCTGTTAAGTCTGCAAAGTGTTTGTTGTTACATGTGAATTAGATTCCTTACCATATATACTAGCCCGTGGGAAATGCCTGCAAACATACCTTCATCTGCTTGACCGTGTATCGCATCGTTCCAAAGGGTCCATCTTTCATGAGCTTCTTCCCCACCACTTTAGCTCGGATCACTGTCAGAAGGGAGGAAAAAATACAGCAAATTATAGACAACTTTACACAACATTTATGCTATACCTTCTCCTTAAACCCGCCCCCACAAAACTGTTTAGATAAATTATCCTGTAAAGTAAACAAACTCCAGGCCAACTTTCCTCTCAATTTATTCTAGATCTCACACATAGTGAAGGCATGTAAAATGGGATGGCAAAGCAGGTGTTTATTTAGAGGAAATCCAGTGTGAAGAATAAGAACAAGCATTATTTGTGGTTAAGTCTCACTGAAATCTGCAGAACAGACTGTAGCTGGGACCAAGACAGATTAAAATCTTTGCACCAAGCCAAGTTTGTAATGTCTTAACTCTCAACATACAGGACGATGTTCAATAGGACACTACTTTTGAATTGCTCTTTGTGTGCCCAATGCAGCTTCTGTTTCCCAATAATAATAACAACTCAGTACAGGGCACTAGAAATCCCCTATCTGGGATTTCACTACAGCTGTCACCTTTGAGGTACCACAAAACTAAGAAATGCTCCCTTGAACAAACAGCTACTGTACAAAACCAGGTTATTCAGCAACCATCAAATGCCCAGTGAAAGGTGCCAGGCCAGCCAGAAGTCACCTGGAAGACAAACTAAAGCTGACCCATCAGTTCTTATGTACACTGCACTGCATTTCCTCATGGATACCAAGGAGCAGTGTGTTCTCTGTGGCACAGGTACTGCCACAGTACCACAGATGCACCACAGCAATGTCAACTGAGCCCAAGCCAACACAGATAAGGATTTTGAGGTCCCACAGATAAGGACTTCTTTTGATCTAGTGGGAAGTTCACAGTCAGTGCTTAATGAAGGGCTTTCTTGCTCATCCATTTTTGGGGCATTCCACACACACACAAAAGAAAATTTTAAAAACTGTTCTATCGATCCTCTGAAAAAGTTCTGCTCATCTCAGCAGGGAAGCAAAGCTCAGGGACAGGGCAGGCATTATCCATTTTAATCTATCACAGAAAACCAAAAAAAAAATGCAGGGAGGTGTAGAAAGGAGACAAATAGGTAGAAGCAGGAAAACACAGTGAGTTATTTGCATTACAGCACTACCTAACAGCATCAACAAAGTTCAGGGGTATGTTTTGCTGAATATAAAGGACATTAAACAAGCATCTTGTCACATCTTATTTAGATTTCAAATCTGTAAAAGTCCACTGAAAGGAATGGGGAAAAGAGAAGACTAAGATTTCTTTCACTACCTAGATCCAACTAAGGTGGCAAAAAGCTTGTCCCAGCTTTCAAAATAATCTGAAGAACAGATTTAAAGGAACAGATAAGTCTGGTTTTACACATCAGTCCCTGGACCTTGTTCCACAAGGGTGGTGTGAAATGAAGACAAATCCACTCTGCTCTGATTTATATCCTGGGCTTTAGCCAGACTTGTCAAAGAAATTTTAAACTAGGTAAGACAGTCCTGGCTTTGATTCAAAGAACCAACAAAACCTTCATTCATTGAGTGTAAAACTTCAATTTTTTCGAAAGTTCTATTTCCCAATGGCAGTAAAAGCAATTTTATTGATTCTTCTATTTAACAAGTTGTTCCGACTTCAATTTACTCTCATCTTCAAACTTTCGTAGCTATATTGAACCGTGTACTTGAGGACTGCAAATATCCTTAAAGAACTAGCTCCTTCCACTTGCTGCCCCCAACCACCAGAACCACCAGCAAAGCTACAGAAACCAGACTGTCCAAGGGTCAGTGAGAAAGAATACAAATCCTTGAGGCTTTGTGAATTCCAGGACAGCTCACTAACACTGGAGTCTAGAGCAGAGAGTGTCAAAAGTCTTATCTTCATCTGCTGATATACTGAAATTGAAAAAACTGGTGTTTGCCCAACACATCTAAAACCAACAAAAAAATCTTATATCTTATTGACAATGACAAGAAATATACTAAAAAGCAGTATTACAAAATGCTAGGGTTTCCAAACCAGAACACAGTTAGCATATAAGATCACAAGCACATTCTTAGTTGCTGACAAAATACCTAAAAAAACCCATTTTCTTCATGTATTTCACTCCTAGCTTGTCATTCCTTTGACTTCTAGTTAGGGTGTCACAGCTATTTCAGACAGAAGCTTTGATTTATGGACTAATCAACAGCTTCACCAAATATTCAAAATGCGTTACCTCCACTAGGACGTAAGAGCATTCTGATTTCAACTAATAATGCCCTTGCAAACAAGTAGAAGTGTCTGTATTTTCCTGTTATTGTTCCCCAATAAAGCTGGAGAAGAACCATCCTAGCAAATTCACCTAGAAAAGCCATGAGAAACCTTAGTGCGGGCTGTCATTTCAAGCCTTTTGTAAGAGAGTCAAGCCTTCTGTTTTTCAGAGAAGTCTCCTTTATGATTCCAATGGTAATGTTTCTAGCTAAGTTCTTTTCTTTACTGAAGACCTAGAAATAAAAAAAGAACCCATCCTACATAACTTTTCCCATATTAAAGGAAAAATCAAGCTGTTATCCAAGTAGCAGAGGATATTCCAAGTCTATCACCTGTAATTTGTGAGGTTAAATTCCCATCCCTGAGGATGAGATGCCTCTGAGCCACTGAAGAGAAATGCTGGATGGACAGAACTGCTCAGAGGTTGCTCTCCCATGCTTACCTACAACCCCCTAAGGCTGCACAGGCGAGAGCCACTTGTACACGTTGCTCAGAGCAGAGCTCCAAGCTGCACATCCACAGCCACGTTTCCCAGTCCCTATCTCTGCTCCTTCAAACCACCACTCCCCAGTTATATGGCTGTGCCACTCTTCACACCTGGCCAGAAAATAAAGAACATTGCTCCTGACTGAGCAGGGGCCAGGCACACTTGCCAGAGGAACTTTTCAGCCTCTGCGTATTATCTGAAATTTACAGCATTTCTGTTGCAAATTCAGTCCATGGTAAGTTAACAAAGTCGACTGTTTACTGCTGCAGACTCCTACTTCTTGAGCAGAATGAGGCAAAAGGTGCTGTGACTGCTCTCCTGAGCTCCTCCCTTCTCCTTGAAGCTCTATTACAGTCCTGCTATTACTGATGGGAAACTTTATCCCACACAAGTGGTCACCAAAATAGCTGCATATTTTTAAACCACAATTCCTTTGAAGCACTGCCTATGAAAATACTCCAAGATGAATGTTTCTCAGTACTTTGGGGTTTCAGGTCAGGTCACTTTGTGGGACTGGAGCAGTTGGCAAGGTCTCATGAGTGATTCGTAATTATTTATGAAAAGCTAAATTAGACAAGGATATAAATCTTGGTAAGATAAGCATGGCAGCCATGCCATGATACAAGGAGAAGAAAACATATGTAGTGCTTCTCAACATTTGACATGATTAAAAAATTGAGGGAGGAAACGTCCCCTCAAGAAAGGAAGGAAACCAGGCTTTTAGTTGATATTCTAAAAAAAAAAAAAAAAAAAAAACATGAAAATAATAACCTGCTGTGTTTGAGTGTTCAAGAAATGCGTCTAAGAATGTATCGCAAAGTACTTATCTCCTTTCCCTGCCCTTTTTGTGTTTTTTGTTTGGATTTGGTTTTTTTTTAATGCAAACTAGCTTGGTAGTTAGGAAAACAGAGATGGCTCAGATTTGCCAGTATAGTGCCAGCAGCTACTGGTTTGTGTTTTCCAGGCATCTCTAGCATGGTACAAACTGTCTGCAGGTGCAAGAATACATATAAATACAGACAAAAATCACCTACATCTTTTCCAAATGTCATTGGATGAGGTCCTATAAAGGCAAACAAATCAGAATGGACATATGAGAGAAAGTGACCTTTTATTTGCCCATATGTATACATATCTAACTCAAGTACTCTCTAACTTATCACCTACTCTGTAGCCACTTTCTCAAGGATTCAAGAGAGAATAGGCCTAAAGGCAAGATATGAAGCAGGAGAGATGGCAGAAGGAATTTTTTTCACGAGTCAAGGAGCAGAAAAACAGGCAATGAGAGATTAAGATATGCACTTGCCAAGCTGAGGAAACAACACGGTGAAAAGACTTGTAGCTACCATGTAATTCCATCCAGGCACACAGTAATTACTACATGTGTGGTAGGACTGACAAGCAACATCAAATGCTGCTATCCAGCCCGTGTCCTTTATCGGGACCAGCCACTAGATGGTGACCCTGTCCCAAATCTTACCTTCCCCTGATGACAGGGCAGCGGTGCAGACCCAGGCTAACACCACCAATCCCAGCTGCTTGCTCAACTGCACCATGAGAACCAGATGCTTTCATGCAAGTGGACTGGTTGTCATCCATAAACAGCATTTTAAATGGAGGCACACCCTTCAGAGACCAGGATTTGCTCCAAACCCATTTCCCTTGTGACCAATTACCATGAATAGCTCAGGAGGGTAACAACTGCTAGACTTCTCATTATTGTTTCAAGGATTTATTTTATTGGTGTGCAATATGGGTAATTTTAAGTGAGAGCTTTAGCTGAAATGCATGGTCACTGCATTTAAGTGAGTGAACGATGTGGAGGACTCATTGTTTACTAATGGAGACACACGGGACAAGTTATTCTCCCAGGCCATTCTCTGACATCCAAATAGTGTCTAAATAAAATATATAGGGAGCAGCAACGTGACTGGGAGGCTGAAGAAAAGCTCCTTCTGTCCTGAGGCCACTGACTACACCAACACTTAAAAACACTGCTTTAACACCAGACACATGGCATGCCAAGGAGGATGGTTGCCATTTTATTCATCCAAAGGCTATACAAGATTTCACTTCCAAGAGCAATTTACTGAGACCCTTTTATCAGCTTTACTAGCAGCTCTCTCATTTGATGTGCCTCACAAGAACTCCTTTCTGTGCTGGTACATGCTGGAGGGCTCACATCACACAGGGCTAAGGCAGTTGATATGTTTTAGACTCCTGAGAATACCTAGCACACTACTGAAATATTAGTATCATTTATGGGGGTGTCCCCTAACGTGGTCAAAACAGGATGCTTTTACACACTG